GACTGTGGAGTTACAGACTGTTGCCTCACTGATGCTTACATCATCATCTCCAGAGAACAGCTGCAGTTTGATTGTGGTTGAAAATGCTAACATCTTGGTATGACTGGAAAGTGTCAGGTGTATTCTTAATATCTGAATATTTAATAAAGTGTGAATGAAAATATTCTCCAAATATGAGATAAAAATAATCAGTCTTTAGACTGTAGTAACTAATGTTCTGTTGTGGACTATGAATAAGGTGAATTTTAAAAATTCAGCTTGAGCTGACTTTCAAAATAGTGAGTGCATCAAAAGCTGCCAATATCAATAATATGTTGATTATTCAGGGCATTTTCAGGAATAGTAAGAGCTTTCATAAAAAAGCTGGAACAGGTTGAAACTTTGCAATTTTAACATCTGTTTGAGATAAGTTTTAATGATCATGTTTGTTCCCGTCAGGTTTTGTGGAAATCCTGAGCAGGATTAGATGGATGGTACAAGCTTTTTCCCATACACAAATGCCATGGTTCTCAAATTCGCTGTTACTGCCATTACCTGTCTTTTTTCCTAAAGAAGAAAAAAGTGATTTGCATAAAACATTTTCTTTGAAGTAAGACTGATTGGGACAGAAGTTGTTACTAATGCCTTTCAGGATTAAAAGTGCCATTACCCAGTAGAATTTTAAATGTATGTTTAAGTTTCTAAAGTTAGGTAGCAAGATGTGTCTAATCAGCACAATTATATTTGCTCCTCTGAGGGTTTGTTGTTCATGTAAGGTGGCAGATAGCATGTTTATTAAGGTGATAGCTAATTATGGAGTGCTAAGTAGCTGTTGCATTTTTAGGCATTGCAGCTGTATTCCATACTTGGTAATTTTTTTGTAAATTCATATGGGCAGAAAATGGCTTCCACATTCCCAGATTTCCCAACTGAGGATACTCTTAGAACATCATTATGCGTCTTTTATTTGTGTTGAATTTTCTTCGGCAGCCTACTATATTTTGCAGTTTGCAGTGCTAAACCGTCTGTAGTGTCATGAATTTGGCAGTGATTGTAGAGAAATATTTTGTTTTCCTACTTTTCTAAGTGTTTTAGTTTTTTGATTGGGTTTGTTTGTTTGTTATGTCTTACTCTTTGTAATTCTTGAAGAAGACTGGATGAACTGGTAGAGGGTTCTCAAGAAGTTGGAAGAGGAAATCTACATGCCATACAAGCCAGACCTGCTCGAGGGCTCTGGTTCTTGTCTGTCCTTTCCACTTAATGTCTCTGTACATGCATGAAAACAGTGCTGTGCAAAATGCATATTTCTGTGCTGAACAGGTTGAGAAAATTAGACTAACAATCAAGTGTTTTGCACAGCTTGGGCGTTCTGTTTTTCCACAGTTGGCTCTCATGATCATACAGTTTCTGTCCCACAAGGCTTATCTTGCTGCTTATTTTCAGCTGTATATTCTTCATGACGTGGTCAGATGTTGTAAATTAAAACATCCTACGGAAATCTTTGTAATAAAATATGTGTCTGTCCTGATTTCATCCCATCAAATGGGGGCTCTCTGGCTGTTCCGTAGACCATGAAGTGACAGTCATACAGCCCAAGGGGTGGTTAAGGTGTCCAATGGGCATTCTTACAAGCTGTGAGAGTAGCATGTATGTGATACAAAAAATTAACTTGAGGGACAGCCAGTCTGTTTATATGTGTTGGAGCGGTCAGTGTTGTGGTTCTCCAAAACAGCAAGCCTGTGTTAACAAGTTGTTAGGCAGCATTTTACAGGTATTTATCCATACATGCATCACTGGGAGCGGTGAAGTGCTGGCACTTGCAAGACCATACGTGGGTTGATGGCAATTTTCAACATGTCTGTTGGGCAAGAAGGGGAATACATCCAGGAGGATATATTGAGAGCCAAATCATACCAAAGCTTCAGCAGCCTCTTGCACATCTCTGAGCCATGAAGTTTTCAGCCTTGCATACTCCTTATATGGCTTCTTATTTTCTAGCAGCAAACTGATAACGGATTAGTTGGCGTGAGAAGAACATTGGCTGTCAAATAGCAATTACTATTTTCCGTTGAGATTAACGGCAGACCTACTTTTGCCTGGCTTACCAAGTACAGGTGAGCTTTTATAAGCCTCCCTCTGTTTTGGTCTTGCGTTCTCAACATGTCGATCATTCCAGGTTTGAAGCTTGGAGTTTGGTGGCGGGCCCAGCTGTAGTAGCAGATAGGAAGTAGTAGTTCTGATGGTGAGCCTTCCTCAAAATCTGCCTTGTCCTAACATAAAGGACTACAAAATCATCTTTCCATATTTATGATTTAATTCAGCAAGAATATTAAATACCGTGTAATCAGACCAAGTGGAAAAAGTCTTTTTCCTAACTTTATGTGTCTTTACAGTATATTTCAGGAAAGTAAGACCTTAGAATGCCAGTCAGAATAATAAAGCATCTGTGCTACAGTTTTGTGCAATGTACAGATTGTACGTGGCCTTGCATTTCACGTTTTTCTCTTTGTGCTTGCCCTGGAAGCAAATTGCTGGAAGTTAGGGGCTCTTCCAGATTCCCATTATGCCTGTGTGTGGCCAGGACCTCCTAGTGCTTTTGCACACAAGAAGAATTTGAGAGTGATAGGTGTGATGCATCTGAGGTTACCAAGCTTGGCACAGTTCAAGCAGTGTGTTGTGTGACTTCCTGCTAAAACCAGAACAGTGCACTTTGTTGCATATGTTCATTCCTTACAGTAAATTTAGTAAGCTGTTCAGAATTGCCTGGAGGGTCTGTGGCTCAAATACTTGTCTTGAAAGACCAAATTATAGCCAGGTATTTGCAATCATGCCTGTGATTGAAATGTGCATGTAAAGGAGAAGGCGAATTGTTAATTAGAAAATTATGATGTTAAAGGTGATTTACTTTTTTTCCTGGAGTTCTCAAACAGGTTTCTCTGATGGTGGCCAGCCACTTAAACCTGACTTTGAATGTAGCTAAAAATCTGCCTAAGAGTTCCCTTTCATTCAAATGAAAACAGTATTTTCCCTGCAGTTGGCATGTAGGTAAATGTAGCTCTGTCAGGGAACAGCAGAGTAGAGGTCAGTAGAGGGTGAGACTTTGGGGTGGAAGAAATACTGAAAATTCAGAGGAAAAAAAAAAGGCTTGTGAAAGCACTGAATTGCCTAGGATTAAGGGATGAGTAAAATAACTGTCTTGAAATATATTCTGTGTAGGGAGAAGAAAAGTAAATATCTACAAAAAGTAATTGAGCTAGCAATTAAGGTTGGTTAAGCTTTTCCTTTTGATGGGAGGCTGTACTTAGGAATCTAACCTTTTTTTTTCTTAGTTGGGTAGCAGTAGCTGTTTCTGAAATAGGCTTGTTAAAGAATTACGTCAGAAGTATTCTTTGATAAACAAAGCAGTATCTGCAAGGGCTTGCTGCTTCAACCAATACAGTAAACTTACATTGTTAATAGTCTCAGATCACCAAAAACCTACCTACCTTGCAATGATTTTTCTTAAAGGATGAATTTAAATAAGCCCTATGGTTGGTTCTGTGTGGCAATATTCTCGTGTCCCATTAATTTTTGGAACACGGTATTTAAAAAATGTGGGCTTGTATGTTGGAAAATCATTACGTGTTTGTGGTAGGTCCTTTTCAGATGTCACTGCTTTTCAGTAGAACTAAGAAGTAGGAAGTGCACTGTTCAGAAGCTGTTGCAAACGAGGAATTTCAAACTGTTTCTAACAGAGCAGCAATTTCTTCTCCACGTTCTTGGGGGGAGGAACTAAAAAGCTTTGGTGAGTTCAAGTTCAAAAGTGGGCTGCCTTTTCATGTGTTCCTGCAGTGTGCTTTGTTTTGGGTTTTTTTTTAATAAGATTTCTCTGGTTGCCAAGAAGACCATGAATGTGTTCAGACTTGATCTTGACTTAGTGTTTTAAAGTGTTCTGCCAGCTTGGCAAAAAGGTGTAGCAGCATCCTTTAACATAGGTTGGGGTTTTTTTTTTGGTTGGTTTTTTTTGGTTGGTTGGTTGGTTGGTTGGTTGGTTGGGGTTTTTTTTTGCTTTTTATTATTATTTTATTACAAAGATGATAGCAGCTTTGAAAAAAGGCTCTTTCTTGGTTGAAGTAACACCAATAGCCAGTGCTTCAAGTACTGCAAAAGAAAAAAACCCAAACTTTCACTGTAGTTATGTAAGTAACACTGAATATATTGGTTTGTTTCCTTTTAAATGTTATTTGTCCTGGTTTTCAGTTTAACTGCATTTGCATCTTGTTACATATGTATTCCTTCCTGTACCGCTGCTCTTATACCACTAGTTGTGATAGGTGACTGTTGTGCTCTCAGGCCCATGCTGCAAACCACAACTGGGGTTACCTATCTCAATGAGAGATCTCTGTGGCCTGTTTTTAGAGGATAGTATACTTAAACCTGAACACAAAAAACCCCCCCACAAACCAAAGCAAAGAAAATCACCAGCATTTCAGGGTTTGAGACAGTAAAACAGACTATAGCTTCCAAATAATTCATCAGTGTTGATCTGTGGACACTGATAGACATAAGGCTGGTGGTTTTACGTATTTCTGTATCCACATTATCTGGCTCATATTAGCTGCTCGGTGTCCTTAGAGATGTTACCTTTCTCTGGTTCTGGGGAAAATGCTATATATTTGTTCAGTCATCTCTCCTTTTTCTCAAAACTAAGTCAGTGTTCAACAGTCTGTAGCTTTGCAATATCTTTGGTCCCAACAATTGGCAGTAATCCACGCTGTGTCAAACAGTGGTCAGAAAGAATGGCTTTGACCTGTAGTTACCTTCTTATTCTTCCAATGCAGAACTAACTGTTTTCAAACAACCCAGTACATAGTAATTTCACCTTTTGATCAGGTCACCCATATAGTATTTTTTAAATAATCATAAAGCTTCTGTTTAATAATTTCTAGGGCTTAGTAAGTTTATGCAAGATGAGAGAAAATAATCTAACATAAAGTTGATTTGCAGTGTCTTTTTTGCATGCTGTTTTTCTTTAGACGTTCACACTCATGAATGTTCAGTGACATTGGGGCAATTGGCAGAGTTGAGAAAAAAAATGACATTTTCGTGGATCTTCTATGAAGAATGAAAATGAGCAAAGTGTGATCTTCAATGGTAAGTTTAAGGTTTTTTTATTATTACTAATGTCCTTCTTTACCTGTTCTTCAACATCTATATTTATGAAGTTCTTCAAGTTTTCTGTTTGTTCCTCAGAATGTTTTAAATTTGTTTTTTTAATTGCTTTTGAAATATTTTGAGAAATACCTTTATACGTAAAAAACATGAATAATTAACGCACTGTCTGCCTCTTTGATAACTTAGTATTCTGTGTCAGTATATTAAATTACTCAGCGTTCTGGACATCTTAATTTTCTTAGTTTTCTAGTTTGCAGCATTCACTTGAACTGCATTGCTGTCTGCTAAAAACTACATCACCTGATCAGGGCAATCCCAAGCACAGATACAGGCTGGGTGATGAGTGGATCGAGACCAGCCCTGCAGAGAAGTACTAGGGGGTGCTGGTGGATGAAAAACTGAATATGAGCCAGCAATGTGCGCTCTCAGCCCAGAAAGCCAATGGCATCCTGGGCTGCATCTAAAGGAGCCTGTCCAGCAGGTTGAGGGAGGTGATTCTACCCCCCGACTCCACTCTCATGAGACACCACCTGGAGTGTTGCATCCAGCTCTGGGCACCCCAGCGTAAAAAAGACATGGACCTGCTCGAGCAGATCCAGAGGAGGGCCACAAAAATGATCAGAGGGTTGGAGCACTTCCCCTATGAGGACAGGCTGGGAGAGTTGGGGGTGTTCAGCCCGGAGAAGAGAAGGCTCTGAAGAGACCTTCTAACGGCCTTCTAGTGCTTAAAGGGGGCCTACAGGAAAGGTGGGGAGGGACTCTTGATCAGGAGATGTAGTGATAGTACGAGAGGTAACGGTTTCAAACTGAAATAGGGGAGATTTAGATTAGATATCAGGAATAAATTCTTCACTGTGAGGATGGTGAGGCACTGGACCGGATTGTCCAGAGAAGCTGTGGCTGCCCCCTCCCTGGCAGTGTTCAAGGCCAGGCTGGATGGGGCTTTGAGCAACCTGGTCTAGTGTGAGGTGTCCCTGCCCATGGCAGAGGGGTTGGAACTAAGTGATCTGTAAGGTCCCTGCCAACCCAAACCATTCTGTGATGAATCTATGATGATCATCTTGTTGTAGTAAAACATGAAATACAGCAGCGTGTCCAGCTTGTGTGAGGACTTTTTAGGGGTGAGACTTTTTAATGAGTATTTCTATTAAAGACTAAAATGCATGAGATGGGTGAGACTTGAGGAAATCTTTCTATCTTACTGATTTTTAGATGTGTCATTAACTTCTGAAGTATTGGATGTCTTAATTTGACTTTATCTAGTTTTTAATCAGTAAAACTACACAAGTTTCTGTCCATGTATTTCAGCTTTTGTCCATGAAAACTCTTAGAGAAGATGGCTGATATAAGGCTGAAGGAAGCAGCACTAATAGTTGGTGTGGTGGCAGCCTGCTACTGGAACAGTCTCTTTTGTGGCTTTGTTTTTGATGATGTTTCAGCGATTTTGGACAATAAAGATTTGCATCCTTCTACTCCGTTAAAAAATCTGTTTCAGAATGACTTCTGGGGTACTCCGATGTCTGAGGTAAGCTGTTTGTGAAACACTTTGAGGCGTTCAGGAAATGAAAAAACATCTTGCAGAGAGTTAATACACTTCTTTTCCATAATGTGGTTTTAACAGAATAGTTTGTTTGTGAAGGAATTTGGTGATGTTAATGTTTTGTAGAATAAGATCAGGACAGATGTCGCTTATATTCTTTCCCTTTGTTCAATAAAAGAACTTGTAAGAAAATGAAGTTATAGATCACGCTTCAAGCTGTTGTGTGTTCCCTAATTCCTGTATCAAAATCGGACAACTCTGACCATTTTTCCTTCTCCTCCTGCAAAAGCTAGACATTGACATACAAGTGTATCTATTTCTAATTGCAGTCTGGAAGGAAAGATAACACTTAAACAACAAAGCCAGGAGTTAGAGAATGGGTGTTGAATCAGTTTGATTTATTTGAGTAAGTATGTTTATGTGAATTCAGAGTTTTTGGGTTGTAGCCCATGTAGAGTGGCTATATTTTCATCAGAAAAGCTACACTGGCATTAAAGTTGCTGATAAACTTTGTTAAATGGTAATGGCTAAAGGATTTACATATGGTTTAGAAAGTTACACATGGTGCCATTGCTGAGCAAATGAATAAAAATTACAGTTACAGGTTTTTTACCTATCAAGGCATTCTACCTTGTAGTCTTCGTTTATGTCCGTAACATACAGGGTTAGTTCGTTGTGAGATAATAATTGCTAGCTCTACAAATAGAACTTGATAATTTTCACATAACCCTGTAATGAAAGCTTCCAGACTTTTTCAGACACCATCTAGTCCTGTAGTCATTGAGAGTAAGTGGGATCTTAAGCTTTTTCCCGTAAAATTTCAAGTAGTATTTTTCAACATAAAAAAAACCCTAACCATGTGGAGCAGGAGAAAGCCATCTCATTCAGTGTTGATTTTGCACTTAAAGCCGTCTGAAAGGTTAATTTTCACTAAAGTCAGTCAGATCAATTTGGTCATTCATGGCTTGTAAAATAGTTCTTCCTATCTTGTATTTTCGTCTGTATGTGCAATTTGGTTCCCTGTCCCACTCTGACACCCCCCTACACCCCTTCGCCTCACAGTTTTTTCTTAGATTTTCTTCCTTTGTTTTACGGACATATTCAGCAAAATATCAACAGGCTGTGGGTTGATAAATGCATTTTAGAACAGGAAGGTGGTGTTAAGTGTAGTTTTTAAGAGTTTATGGATGCAGTAACTGGCAACGTAGACATATTGACTGATAGAAATACTGAAAAGATGTAGATAGTATGTTTCGCTGAGCGTACCAAATTTTTATTTTATAAAATACTGATCTGAAGCATGAAATGGCAGAGTGATCAAAATACTTGAATAATACATTAAAATTATGTGGAAGTGGGAAAAATAGTAGAATTAACTTCACTGTTTAACATTTTAATTTTAAATCAAGTTTACATTTAATTCACTGGATCATTTTAAAATTTTTTTCAGTATTTCTAATTTTCAGGTCTTTACTTTGAAGGTAGATGCCTGAGAATAGAGGGGGGAATCAGGTATGCATAGATTTTTCGGAAGGTATTTTGAAGTAAAAGTTCGTTTCTAAGTTGGTGGTGACTGACTCATTTTTTTTTCTTTTAGGAGAGGAGTCATAAATCTTATCGTCCCCTTACCGTTCTTACGTTTCGCTTAAACTACTTGTTCAGCGAGTTAAATGCAGTTTCTTACCACTTCCTAAATCTGGTCTTTCATGTGGTGGTTTGTGTAGTCTTCCTCAAGGTCTGTAAGCTTTTTCTGGACAACAGGAGCAGCGTAGTTGCATCCTTGCTCTTTGCAGTGCACCCCATACATACTGAAGCGGTAAGTATAGCTGTCATGTGCTTAATTTGCTCAAGCTGTATTAATTAACCTTAAATTTAGTGGGGTTTGTATCTGTTTATATATTGTAACTCCAATAAATATGTGGTTTTACTCGGATTTTACTCTGTCCTTTGTAATGAGTAGTGGAGGTGACAAATTTTAATGCTCAGAGTTGTTTGGTATTCCATGCAGCTACTGGAAAATAAAGAAACATTCATTTAGTTATTTAATAACTTGATCTCTGCTATGAGCATTGGATTTTATGATGGCTGCTTTGGCTTACATAGATAATTGTGTTTGATCATTGTTTGAACCTTCCATTTTTTAACATATCTGATATAAGAAAGAGGAAATAAATTTTTTGCCTCTCCTATTTTCCTTTCCTTTGATTCTGAAGGAGTTGCCATGAAAAGCATTATTTATACAAACTCTCTGATTATATACTTCTTAACGGTCAACCAGGCTTGCAGTGTTGTGGAGTGAATGGAGTCTCGTGATTGCCATTTGTTAGATTTTTTTCTGTCAGAAGCACTGATAAAGCAGATCTGTGGAATTTTCTGCTGTTATTTCTGCACCACTTAGATAAGCTTTCCTAAATTCCAGTTCACACAAGTTGCAAAGCCCATCCTGAGTCTCTTTTTTCTTACAGTATTAACTGATTTTCAGAAAACAGAAAACTTTTGCTTCTTTGGTGGTGTTATGCCTTTTTTTTTTTTTTTAATGTGTTTTTTGGGGGGTTGGGGTGGGGATGTCTTTTGAAACTAAGAAAATGAGAAGGGTTTACTCTTACCTTATATGTTTTTTGGCCCTGATTTGTTTGGGTAAAGAGTTTGCATCTCACTCTCTTGTTCTCTAAAGACACAAATCCCTATCAGTAGGAATTCAGTAGCCTGTATCTGTGTATTTTGAGCAAATCTTTATAGGACTTAAGTTCATGGGGTTTCTAATTGGCTTCTGTTTGAGCTATTAATACGTCCTTGCTAGAAGAAGTTAGTGGCATGTTGAAAAATTCAAAAGTTAAAACACCTCAACATTTTTGCTTTCTTTTGTGCTCAAAAGCAAAATCATCCATAAAATCTTGGGTAAAATACAGGTTGAAAAAAGATAATTGTTCATTTCATTTGGTTTTCTGTTTCATTGAAAAAAACATGCTTTAAATTTCAAAGTTTGGCTTTGCCTCTTTGTAGTAAACGTGATAGTGTCTGTACAGGAGCATTAGCAAGTTGCTGGTGATTTACGTTAGTGGTTCGTGGCTTGGATAATCCTATGTAATTTTATCATTTTCATTCCAAATACGATGATTCTTTATCATGCTTGAATTGTCAGGTTCCATATAACAGTAATACAGTTGCTTTTAGTACTATGCAACAGAGTTAGCAAAAAGTATCGTACAAATCCTACAAAACATTGTGTAATGAAAGCTTATTGTGTAAGGTGATGTATTACAAAATTAAAAAATACAGTTAGGGTGATTTGGTAGTGTGTAATCCCTGATGTTAGCCACACGAGGGCACTTTAAGACTGTGTGATTGTTAGAACTTGGTGCTGTACTTAGAGGCTCTGGGATATAAGTGCAATTGTAATTGAATTCCCTTGCTGTTGTACTTAGGTACTCAGAGAGGAATCAGTTCAGGGATTTTCTTCCTCCTCCCCCTGCCTTTTTCAACTTAAGCTTTCTGCTTTTAAGAAATAGTGCATTTTATCCTTTCAAGTGTTTGCATTAAGAATTCTGCCTAACATGCAACCAAGAAAGAATTCTTGGTAACAGTTGAGTCTTGTGCATATGTCTAAAAGGCAGAATAACTGGAAGTTTCCATACGTGGAAGAGGAGGTAATAATGAGATGTATTTTAGAACTGAGGACTTGGGTGCAGGCTAACTTACTCAGACCTTAGTGAAAGCTCCAAAACAGGTCTCATTCCTAGTTTTTATGTAATTTGATGGTACCTTTTGTGTCTTTTATAATTTAAATGTATCTGTTTTGAATTCCTTTTAAATTAGTCTCCTACTTATTACTCCCCTGCACAAGAGTTTGAAACAGCAGATGCAATACATAAACATTTCAAGCCTTTACCTATCTTACCATAAATAGATTTTTCCTGGAAAAGTTAGCAGAGCAGGATAAATAGAAAATAATTTTCTGCTTGACCTCGGAGAGAAGCTGGGCTCTTGTGGTGTTAATATATCGTTTTCTGAGGAAATGGGTTGAATAACAGCATCATAATTTAATTTGTCCTTGTCTTTAGAATTCCAGTTTGATCTTTCTAGCTACTTGGCTACTCTTCTGGCCAGAGGCGTGTTGACCACCTTTACAGCTACAAGATGTCAGTTAACTTTGTGAAAGCTGGAATTTTCTCTCATACGTCACCTTAGTATCCAGAAATAGAATCTCTCTTTTGTTGGCAGGAGACTGTGGAGGCACACCAGAACACTTGCTTTACTAATGGTCTCTTTCAACTGATCTACAGACGAAGTTCTGTTTAATTTCTGTCTTAATGCTGGACAATTTTGAGATCCAGACTAGGAATCCTTGAAACATCTTAAGACATTTTGGAAACAAAAACCTGTATACTATCCAAAATGTTACTACAAACGGATGTCCTGTCAGTTGATAAAAACATGCTTTGCTGTGCGTGATTCAGTGAGTCCTTTGGTAAATGTATGCTACTCTCAACGGAAGCAGCAGAACACGGTGTCAAATTCAGATTTGAATACTTTTCTTTACACTGTGACCTTAGATATTGAGTTACTTTCTCTTTTTATGCTGTGCTGGATCAATCATGCTTGACCAAGAATGTACTTAGCAGTAAAAACTTCTAGCTGGGTCTGGATGGCTGAAAGTCAGTTTTCAGCATCATCATAATTAAATGATGAGCTAGGAGGTTTCCTTAGCTAAATATAACTGTCTGCCTAGGGATAGCATGCCATTTTTCAGCCATCGTACTTGCAAAAATTTGGATGCAATTAGAGGCATTACAGAAAAGGACAGATGAAGGCAGTCCTAACTGGTACTGTGGTCAGCACAGTGGCTACTGCAGAAACCATTAATGTAGTAACCTGTCTTCCGTCTCAGGTTGTTGGTTACACCTTTCTGTTTTTCAAAAACAGCTCCTGAAATGGAAATTAATCTGTATTTCACTGGGGATTCTGAAACAACCTTCTGCCCTACAGATTTTAGCACTTCTTCAGATTTTTATAAAATCCATTCCTCTCTGGCTCATTACCAAAGGGGGCACTACCTGCAATTTTAATACTGCCAACCAAATTATCAGTCAGAAAATTGCCAGACCTGAGTCATTCTTTAACTCCATTGCACAGAGCTTGGCATCAATTTATTTCTAAGTCTTGCCTGCTCACCTAAAAGCTGCTGTAGCACCAGACCTGCTGTAGCAGCAGTCCAGGGAATGCTTCTTTCAGATTCAGATCCATTCAGTCAGGAAAAGTATGAACAAAAATAAAAATCGTAGTTTCTGTATGCCACTGTCTGCAGGATGCATAGATACAACAGTCGTTCTCAGGCTTCACTTAAAACTCCTACTGATGAAAGCTAGTTGCTTCCAAGTATCACGAATAAAGCAGTTGTTATTGTGTCCAAATGCTCTTTGTGGCTGCTGTGACTAAAGATAAAAGAAATTACAGCATTTTTTGGTTGTTTTGTTATGATGATACTTAGGGGCACATCAGCCACAGGTGGCCACCAGCCACCTAGAATCATAGGATAGTTTGAGTTGGAAGGGACTTTAAAGGTCATCTCATCCAAGCCCCCTGCAGTGAGCAGGGACATCTTTAGCTAGATCAGGTTGCACAGAGCCCCATCCAATCTGACCTTGAATGCTTCCAGAGATGGGGCTTCTACCACCTCTCTGGGCAGCCTGTTCCAGTGTTTCACCACAATCATTGGGAAAAAAAACCAAAAAAAACCCTTCCTTATATCTAGTATAAGTCTACCCCGTTTTAGTTTAAAACCGTTACACCTTGTCCTGTTGCAACAGACCCTGCTAAAAAGATTGCCCCAGTCTTTCTTGTAGAACCCCTTTAAGTACTGGAAGGTACTACAAGGTTTCCCCAGAGCCTTCTCTTCTCCAGTCTGAACAACCCCAACTGTCTCAGCCTTTCCTCAAAGGAGAGGTGCTCCACCCTCCCCTGATCATGTTTGTGGCCCTCCTCTTGGACTCACTCCAACAGGTCTGTGTCTTCTTGTGCTGCAAACTCCAGAGCTGGACACAGCACTCCAGGTGGGGTTTGAACAGAGTGAGCAGAGGGGGAGAATCGCCTCCCTTGACCTGCTGGACACACTTCTTTTGGTGGAACCCAGGATATGGTTGGCTTTCTGGGCTGCAAGACCTGTATCATCCTGTTCTTGAACTGAAAGCAGCCTTATTCTTCTTAGCCTTTTTTGCTTGGTTTACAGATCTTGTTTATGCATATCCTGATAATATATCAGTCATGCACTGTTCTAATACTACAATAGTCACTAGAAGAATAATTATGTTTTTTCGTCTTTTTCTTTTCAGGTAACTGGAGTTGTGGGCAGAGCGGAGCTTTTATCATCTATCTTTTTTCTAGCTGCTTTTTTGTCATATACAAAATCGAAAGGGCCAGATAATACCATAGGTAAATGGCTGACAAATATATACGTAACTTAATCTTTGTATCACTGATAACAGAACTGTTAAAATGGTAATATGTGTGTACTGGTTATTCAGCAACTCTGTAGAAAAACCCTTCAGGCCCAGGATACCCATGTAATAGTACTTTCCATCATAATTGCCTTTTTTTTTTTTTTTTTTTTTGCTTCAGCACTTAAACACTTTTTCAGTTGTTTTGTAGCACCTAGAGTGACTCTTGCACTGACTTCTGTTAATGCAAGTAAGTGGAATTATGCTGAGATGCCTCAGATGGTCACAAGGAAGCTGCAGAGTTTCAGTGGAGATGTAGGAGGCTTGTGTCTTTCTAAAATCAAATTGACCTTGTGAAAATTCCTGACTCCTTATAAAACATTCTATTTGAAAAAGTGTTCTGCTGAATTAGGAAAGATTAGGTTTTTTGTTTTGTCATAGATTAGTCTTTTGCCTTTCATTTAAGGGAGGCAGTTTTAAAACTCGTACATGTATATTATTTTCTGTAGAGTAAAACTGGTGATCTTCCCTGTAATAATAAATGGCATACTGAGTAAGTTTGTAGAATATAGCATGTTCAAAAAAGAAGTGAAGTCTTCACTTTTTAGGTTAATTTACTTTATGAAATGTTTTAGTTTGTTGTAAGATGGAACATTTTCAATAGCGTCTTCTTTATTTGCAGTGTGGACTCCAATTGCAGTGACTGTGTTTCTAGTAGCTGTTGCAACACTGTGTAAAGAACAAGGGATAACGGTGGTGGGGATATGCTGCGTGTACGAAGTGTTTATTGCTCAAGGGGTAAGCTGTTGAAAAATAAATCTGATTTCTTCTCAGGAATTCTGTAATGAGACATTAAGTACTTTGAAGTGTCATATTTCAGCACTGATTTTTGTCAGTTCAGGCTAACCCTAGTTCTGTTACATTTTTCATATTTTGAATCAACCAATATTTAGTATCCATGATTCGTAGGGAAATACACTCAATAAAGAATTGACTTATCTTAATGGAAACCTAAGGTTTCAATTGACTGACCTTTGCAAAGACTAGCATGTAACAGTCTTGGTTAAAATCTGAGGTGCATCAAGATGGGGGATTTTTTTTTTTTTAATTCCTGTAGTAAAAATAGTGAACGTATTATAAACAAGTGCATTTCATCACATTCTAATGCATAACCAGAAGTTTGGGAGTAGTCTTATTTGAATCAGTAATATTCATAGGAAATTTGTTATTCTAATACCTTTAAATTTGATTTCTAATATGATAGGTTTAATCTTAAATATTGATAAGTCTTTAAGTTGATAGTAACTTTTCTTTTGTTTAGAGAAACAAGATGTTCCTGCAATGAAATAATTCTTGATTTTTTAGTAATCAAACTGTATGCAATTTAAAAATGTATGATTGCATATTCTAAGAAAATGTTTTAGTCTACTGTTCCTTAATTACTTGAAGGAGTATTTTGCAAAAGCTGCACCAGTAAAAGCCAGAAGGTTGTCAGTCTCGGGGGTACGTATTCGGGCCAAAATGCTAAAATCCCATGGTTTTTTGTGCTTACAGAAATACGTGTGTTTAACTAATGCCTTTGCATGTCTAGTGAACAAGCATATAATTTTCAAACTGGATTTCTGAGGAAATCACCAGTATGTGACCATAATTTTCAATCCACTCTCTTTCTTTTAGTAACTTTTGGTCTGATCATTAGTTTCATGAAAGTTTAATAAGTTTGTGTAAGTCAGCTGAGTAGAAAAGAGAAAATCCAAACTCAGGTGTCTTCTGAGGACACTGGTGTAGCAGGAGCTAAAAGTTTGACCAGTTCTCAAAAAACTGTCAATATCTGTTGTTCATCCAACCTGTATATGTGAAGCAATAAGTCATCCCCAGCACAAGACATGAAGACATAGGGAAATAGGTACACAGGGAAGAAATTAGGGTATGTAATGGGGAACTGTGCAAGATCATAACGTTCATGAGGCAGGGCGAGATAGGTTACTGCAGTAGAGGCGTAAAATAGAAATTCAGGGCTAACCAGGAAGTCAGTAGTATTTCTACCATTCCTAAGGAATTTTGTTTATAGGACAAGTTTTCAGAGGGGCTGATAATTCTAAAAATAGTGATTTCTCTTCTTCAAAATTTATTTCATGGTCATACTTAATTTATTGAAGTCTCTGAAGTCAGTACAAATTTTTTAATCTGTCAGTGCAAAATACAGAACTACAGGCGTGCAAGTTCAGCTATGATAGTGTTAGCAAGAATACCTGAACAGAGTTATTTGTAGTAGAATGGTGGACTTCTTTTTGGGGGTTGTCATGAAAGCTCTAAGAAGCTGAGTTAAGTAACTGTTGGGAACAGGTGTTCAGAGAAAACCAAGAGAAGAAAAGATAGGTAGCTCATATTCATCTAAAGAATTAATGAGTAAACTGTCTGATCATAAATACTTTGTTCCTTTGCAGTACACCTTGCCAGTGTTATTGGACACAGCTGTACAGATTCTTCGAGGGAAGGGCAGTATTCCTTTCTCTATGCTTCAAACACTGTTGAAGCTCATAGTCCTAATGTTCAGTACACTGCTGCTTGTAGTTGTCAGAGTCCAGGTTATCCAGTCTCAACTTCCAGTGTTTACAAGGTAATATTAAAGTGTCTCATATTTACAGACTCTGATAAATAAGATGTGGCTTAATGAGGTCTGAATGAAATGGCAAAAAATACATCAACTTAAGTGTTTATTAACTTATTTTAATATTGGTAAGCAATTACTGTACAATATTAAATGTTTTGTGAAATTTATAAATGGTATATTTTAGTACCTGTTGAGAAGAATATCCAGAATGTATTTGAGCAGGCATTAATTTTTAAAAACTTAATGGTTGTTTTATCTTAGTAATTCAGAACTTAAATGTTTTATTATGAAAGTATTTTTTATTGGCTATGTGTTCGAACCTTGGCTGAATACTCCAAGCCTCTTACTAAGTCTTTTCTCTTCTACGTTCAAAATATTTCTTTGGTTTTAGGTATGTACCATGCAGAAAGCATGGCTGTCTTCAGATACGGTGCTTTAAGAGAAGTGTATATGAGTAATGTTAGGACTGAAAAACCGTAATTTGTCTTAAAAGTGTGTGAGCAATGTAGAAATCAAGAATCTAATATTTTCCCTGAAAAGTGAGACAAACTATTAAAAACATGAACAAGGACCACTGAGCCCAACTTCAGGTGTAAATCATTCTGTTTCTTCAAACTTAGGTTAATTCTATCCCAAACCAGTTTCTTAAACTCAGGGGAGGCTCCGTCCCGTGCTAAGGTGAATTGTTGCACGTGGTTCCCAAGTTATGCACTTGACAAATGCAGGAAAGTGAGAATATTGTACATGTCTGTAGTTAGTAGTTCTAGCTATGAATCTAAAGTTTGCCGGTTTCTGAGCACAAAGTGTATCAAGACCGTATCTCTTTTCATTAAAAGTTCCATTTTCTCCTTTCTTCTGCTTTAGGTTTGATAACCCAGCTGCTGTTAGTCCATCCCCAGCAAGACAGCTGACTTTCAACTACCTCCTCCCTGTAAATGCTTGGCTGCTTCTCAACCCCTCAGAATTATGCTGTGACTGGACAATGGGAACTATTCCTCTCGTGGAGTCTTTGTTAGATGTTAGAAATGTGGCCACCCTTACCTTCTTTTGCTTTCTGGGATCTTTGGTTGTCTTCAGTCTCCGATATCCTGGGGATTCCTCCAAGACTGTACTGATGGTATGAATGATGCATTGGTTTTGTCCTTTTTTAAGAGTGTAAGTGGCTCAGGTTTTTCTCAGGTCACATGTCTAATCTGCTGTGACCCAGAGATAGTACATACATTTCCTTTTGGTCTAGAATGAATACATAAGAAAAGAGGCAAATTTTTGTAGTGACAAACCGGTTAAATTGTAATTAAATATGTGACTGTCAGGGATGAGATGGAGACTAATAGACAAAGTGATGAGAATAAATATGCACCTTGTTTTGTATTTTCAAACTGTATTGTGGCCTTTCTCGGATATTCAGAACTCAACCAGCAAACGGGAGTTTTCAGTAGAACTTAAATATTTTTTAAGGATCGGAATGCATTTCCATCCTGCAAACTGTCTCCCTTATTTAATGTCAGTAGTCATGCTGTGTGTTTAGCAAGTGACTTGATTTTCTTCTAGATAGAAAACAAAAGGACATATTTTAGCATTTAGGAATATAAGTTTTCCTCTTTGGTTGTTGTTCTTTTAACAAAGGCACTCTTCTGTAGTCTTTTCCATATTCTAAGGAAAAACTGATTTTGCCAACTTGTAAGATCAGTTCTTGTTTTTCAGTATTATATGACCTTGAAACTGAAGTGGGTTAACAGGAAAGAATATTTTGGAGAAAATGGAAAGGAGCAAATGAGCTAGTATTTTTTTCATCCAAACGGAGTCATCTTTTTCATTGCTTCCATTGCAAATCTTCACAAGATTAATAATTACCTGATTACCATGTTTTTTTGTCAAATCAGTGGTGTAATTATGTGTACGACAAACCTGCATGCATAGATCCTAGTTTCCTTCAGAAATACTGTACTTTTTTAATACGTAACTCAGCCAACAAAAAAGTTTCAGATGGGTGGGTATATTTATGCACAACTTAAGACTAAGGATTTCTTTGCTAATCAGCTGACAGACTGATTCACTTCAAAGAGACCTAACAGTACGGTTCTGACTCATATGATTTTTCTTGTCTTGTCAGTGAAGTGATGCCTTTTGTTTCACTAGAAAATCTGTGAAAATGATCTGTGGTATTGCTGATGAAACCTCTTGTCCTGAATTTGGAAACTGTATATGAAGAAAAGAAACTTCGATAGCTTGTTGATATAGCAAATGTGCAAGGTGACATACCTGGAAAGAAAAGTTATAGTTTTACAGCACTTAAAAAACGTGGAGTAGTTTAATCTTCCCTCTTACGTAAGCTGAAAGAATTTTTCTCCAGTGCACTGGTAGCAGTAGAAATGTTTGTGAGGAATGGTTCGCTTTTTTTCATAG